ACTATTCGATGTCTATAATGTAGTTCTTAAAATGAGTTTTGAGATGATATAATCGATTTGTAGATTCGACTACCGTATGATTGTCGGAGAATTTTTAAAGTTACCATGTTATCGAAATTCTCGAAATACTAATTTTAAACCTCCTACTTTGACAAGTCGTAACATTTGCTACGATTGGTCGTTTCGCACGCCGTTAACGACATAAAAAACTATACTGTGCACACTTCGAAATTGTATTAAGAATGCAATATTTTGATTTCGTTTCACATCTTATAATGATTTCGAAAATTGAAACAAAACATTAAAAAAATAAAAAGCAAAGTTGGGGGCACGTGACCCCAGGCCCACCCCTAGGTCCGCCAATGCCAATAACTCCACAATTACATCACCAATAACACCACAATTACATTTCAGTTTGAGAGTTGAAGAGTCTGTTTGGAAAAAAAATTCAAAATGACGACACTCCTAACGGTCCAATTTTTGCTCCATTCGGTCCGATATTCATATACGCAGGTCGAGTTCGCACACAAGTTCTAGGCTTGATTTACAATTTCGATCCTTGATTTCCAACACAATCATGTTCAAACCTTAACAATATCCAAAAGAAATTAAATAAAAAAAGGAAACAGTGGCTAGAGGGATCTCGATTGATCGCCCTTCAGACACGCTCTGCACCTGACTGACCCAGTTGTTTGGGGCGTGGATGGGTCTTGGTCTATTCCAAATTCCCAAATTGACCCACATGTGCAACCGGGGGAGAGAGGGGGGGGGGGGGGGCCTCCCTCCCTCGTCACCTTCGTAAATGTCCAGTTTGTTGCATCAAAATAATAAATGTCAGCAGTTATGCCATTATTTCTGCATAAAACGGGGGAAACGGTAGCTCTTGTAAAAACATTGACTCAAATCCGTTCACAAGTTTTTTGGACCTATTCCAATTCACTGATTTGCATGTAATTAAGAAGAGAGAAGAATTGTGTTCTACGTTGTCAAAGTTATAACTATTTGAGGGCTTTTTTTACAAGTCGATTTTAAAAATGAGTTCTATATACTACTAATATCATAGCTAGTATAGAAGCAGACGACACAAGTCGCCAACTAGAAATTAGTATGAACTGGTGTGGACATTGATAGTTAAAGATGGGTGAAATCTAACGACTAATTGCTTCCATGACGTTAAGTTGATGCTTGAATATTGAACCTATAACCACTTGAGCAGTATACCTTTGTAAACCATTTTTAAGATGATCTGATTCGACACACGTTTCAAAAATACAATGTGTAAATAAATTTGATAATCATCTTCAAGAAAATACTGGCACAAACATGAAAGAATGCTTTCTTCTAGGTTTATGGCCATATTTCTTAGAACCACAAACAAGAATTCGGGTTGAGATAAAGAGCATAAGAAAGAAATGGGTGGGCGTGAGTGGAAAGAGGAGGCAATAAAAGTTTTCCTTTTAGACTTAATTATAAGATCCGACCAATCAAAAAAATCAAGAATTGGTCCGAAATATGATCTAATTACATACGAAAAAATCGCCATGAAGGGGCATATTTTTCTTTTCTTAATTAAATCACTTGATAGTATATTTTATTAATAATAATTAAACATAGTACAATTGTAAAATAGAAAAACTAACATGTCGAGACACAGAGAACAATGTAAAAATAATAAAAAAATATGCTTCATATGACCTAGTCACACTTTTTGTGACAATACACATAATGTATAGTCCTTAATTCGTTTCAGGCTCACTATTTGAAGAGAATTGAATAAATTTATTATGAAACTTCAACTTCAGGAAATCTATAACCTTGTCACATTCAAAAGTTTCATTGATGTATTCTCTTACACACGGAAAATGTTTATCATTTATTTCCATATCATATCCCATATTGCTCAAGGATGTACTACCCCTATTCTATATAACATATATTGGCATTTCACTTAACTCTTAATTTAATGTCACATACATTGTTGTTATAACACGATCAATGTTGCATATACATAATTACTCTTGCTCAAATCATTATCATTTAATTGTTGGCTTGTGCATTTGCTTCAACAATACCATAAAATCATCATCCACATGTTGCTCAAGAACACTAGATTCTAGAACGTACGTCCTTATTCTTGACCTTCATTTAACAAGTCGACGTTCATTGATATTCAGATTTTTTAGTTGATCCATCAATAACACTTTTTAAATAAGATTTTGAGAACTTGTGTCCTCCTAGTTGTAGTAATCCTAGGCCAGGGTGGGGGTGGGGGGGCGGGGGGAAGAGACAAAGGAGAGAGAAAGAGGGTCCCGTACCCACCGCCCATGCGCCATTGGCACGCTGTCTCACCAACTTAAAGCCACTCTCCCCTCCTCATCCATTCAAATGAATTCACCCCTATTGACCTAACCCTAACCCAAACACCACTTAACAACTAAGCTTCCCATCATAAAAAGGATTAAACTCGTTTTACATACTGTATATCTACTCTCTCTCCTCTCTTCTCTCTTCTCTCTTCATCTCCTTAAACTCACCAACAGCAACAAACCCAACTTAACAAGAAGAGTATAGAGTTATCACGTGAGGCTAGTAGGATAAGTCATGGTTAGTTCAACTCAATTTTTGGTGAATTCTTCAACAATTCATTTCCACCTCTTCTCTGGTGAAGGTTAGTACAGTTTGATTCATCAAATTCCCAAGAAAATTCATCAAAGTTGTCCATCTTTGAAAAAGCAAATAGATTTTCAAATCAACGAGTGAAGCCATGGATCAACTAACAGCTCATGGCCGTTCTTTGCCGCCTCCCTTTCACGCTAGAGATCTACAACTCCACCACCACCAGTTCCAGCACCACCAGCACCAACAGAATCCCGAAGATGAACGAAGTGGGAATAGCAATCCTAACAGTAACCCGAAGCGAGATCCTGATGAGAATTATGGTGTCTCCACCACCACTACCACCACAAGTTCCAACACCCCCCCAACCGGAGGCAAAGATCTAGTGCCTATCTCTGGGGAAGGAGAGGTTACAAGAAGACCTAGAGGAAGACCTGCTGGTTCCAAGAACAGGCCCAAACCCCCAATCATAATCACTCGAGAAAGTGCAAACGCACTCAGATCTCATGTCATGGAAGTTGCCAATGGTTGTGATATTCAAGAAAGTATATCCATTTTCGCCACAAGGCGGCAAAGAGGGGTTTGCATCTTGAGCGCCAGTGGTACTGTCACTAATGTTACTATAAGGCAACCAGCTACACCAGGAGCAGTAGTGACCTTAAATGGAAGATTCGAAATTCTGTCCCTCTCAGGTTCCTTTTTGCCACCTCCAGCTCCTCCTATTGCATCAGGATTAACCATCTATTTAGCCGGAGGGCAAGGCCAAGTTGTTGGTGGCAGCGTGGTGGGGCCGCTTCTCGCTTCTGGGCCGGTGGTGATTATGGCAGCAACATTTGGTAATGCAGCATATGAGAGGCTTCCTCTAGAAGATGAAGAATTGCCGGTGCCTGGAAGCGGCCCCCTTGGATCCCCGGGAATTGTTGGCCAACAACAACAGCAAGAGCAGCAGCAGCCACAACAACTTATGGTTGATCCTAATTCAAATCTTTTTCATGGGATGTCTCCAAATCTAATAAATTCATGCCAGTTACCAGCTGAGGCCTACTGGGGGACAGGTCCTCCTCCCTTCTAATGAAATCAAAAACCAGGATCCTTGATTTTCTCTTGACATGATTTCACTTCAAAATCACTTTGCATTCTTCTTAATTTCTTTGAAACTAGCTTTAATTTGAGTTCATGGTGTCATCTGGTGATTAGTCTGCCTTTTAATTGAAGAGGGATGTACAAATTCATGAATTCTTGTGGTTTAATTTTATGAGAACAGCTTTTCAGCATTTCACATTGTCTTTGATACCAATTCGGAGTAGAATTGAAGTTTCACCTTCAATTTTTTTTTCTCTTCCTTCTTCTGATTTCTTATTGCAGGTCTGATAACTTGTCTGATAATCATTCAGTCACTTCCTGCCGAAGAAAAGTAGAAAACAATGGGGTTTTAGGTTTCTTTTCTCGGCGGTTTGTTTCTTAAGGTTTCCTATTTTAGTACTGCCATCTCAGCTTCTTCAGTTTCATAAAAGTAACCTATTTATAACATTTTCAAGACACCCCATAAAATTTCAGGCCTTAATATTTACTTCTAGTCTTATACATATTCACTGCTCTTCTATCATCCATTTTTCTTTTCGAAATCTTGTAATCTTTTAATTAGTTTTACCGAATATTTTTGGGGTACAGAAATTGAAAATTCTGTACGTAAAAGATGGTGAATTTCAACTTCCAAGATAATTGACAGGAAGAGAGAATATTTTCGCTGCATGCAAATTTGGCTAAAAGGTAATTCAACAAGAAATGGGAGCTATCTTATATAAATGAAAGCATAAGTATTTTCCGTAAGTTGATTTCAACTTATAATTCATCCTTGGCAATATAGGAATAGATTTATACTTTATATACACCCTCAGTGATCCTTAATTTCTTGATTTTTCTTTAATGCTTTTTGGGGTTGATAAGTGAGCAGAGAGACATGATTATTGGGTTCTGGGTTACACGTGCACTGCTCTAACCTTAGCTCCTTTTCGAGCGTATTGATAGTGAAGGTATAGTTTGTCCTTTCTCTCTCTATACATATATGTATATATACTTCTCTCTTTCTCTAGCAGTAAATGGATTGGAAAGGGACCTACAAACTGAGGGGAGTAATCAGTATGTCTAGATTCACGAATTGTTCGCTGCATTTGGACCATAGACACTACAGTGTCTCCTCCTTTCTTTCTCACATGCTAGGTTTTTTTCATCACCGCTTAGGTTTCCTTCTTTTGCTAATATAATATAAATTCTGCATCTATAATGTTTAATCATCGTTTCTTGTCTTCCAAATTATCTTTCAAAATCAAATTTTTTTTTTCCTGATAATTATTCTTCCAAATCTTAAGTACTTTCCATAATTTGCTTTGTATTGCACAGATTCTGAAATTAATGTTGCTCCATAGATCCATTGGAAATCCACTGCTAAGACCATCGCTGTAGGAGCCCTTTTTTTCTTTTTTTTTTAAATTGTGAATTCTGAACATTGGTAGGATTCTATCTTCTCTTCTCTCGGCTTTAGTTTTGGGGAGAAATGGAAAATAAATTGTTCCCAAAGAGTATTTGTTTTCTGTCGACTCTTGTTTATATGAATACAAAGAGTGTTTGGATTTCTTCTCCATGTTTGAAAATTAAGACATGTAAATATGTAGAATTCCACTTTTCTTTATTGTAAAATTAGAAAAAAAAAAAAACCTGCATTATTCATGTCATAATTAGCGACTACTGTGATTTCCAGTGCCACATAACTATAATATATCTTCATTAAAAATGATGAATAACATACTATGTCGCAAGTAATGTACTATAAAATAATAAGATCAATTAAAAATAGAAATAAGAAATCTAATTTGTTGATCTTATTATTTAGGGTTTGTTTGATTGGTTTAAATTCCACGGAAAATGTTACATCAGAAGAATTCAATTTCTACTTTGGCTGTTTGATGCGAAAATGAAAATGGAGTTCGAATTCCAATATACAACCACTTTAAGCTTGTTTTTTTTGCCAATTTCATGAAAAATGCATTCCTATGGAGTACTTGAGTTATTATTTTTCAACTTACATGAAATTAGAAAGTATTTTCACATTTGTCAATCAAACGGACCCTTAATTCTATGTTACAGAGAGTTAATATGATGTATATTCATAAGACCCTATTTAGTTTGAATTAAAATTTTAAGTTAAAATCAATAATTAATTAATGACTATTTCACATGATCGAAAGTGGCCGGCCTAAAATCCTTTGCATAATAGAAAGCCCCGATAAAATATTTATAGGTTTTTAGGTTAAAAAGTCCAATAAATCTGACAATGTATATTAATCCATATTGGGTGATATAAATTAATCAAATTATATTTAGACGTGAAGGCTTGTGCCGCGAATAAGAAACTTGGAGGACTGAATTTGACACCAAAACAACTGAATTACATGTGAATAAATATTTAAATATAAATAGCTAGTAGTTAAGTAGTAGAAAATTTGACGATATATTTTTCGAGTTTTTGCTCAACCAAGCGTCATTTTAATCCATTCTAACATGTGGCGACAAATATGTCGTGTATAATATAATTTGATGATGTTCAATAAAGGGCTCAAGCTTGATTCCGGAATTAAGGAATCTGCAAACAAAATTAACAATTTCATTCAGAAGAATATATGTCGAGTACTTACGAACAATTAACTTTTACAAAATTGAAGCTGAAGCAACCGTGTATATTGGTGATTCCCCCACCAAAAAATAAGAATTTTTAATGCAGGAACTGATAATCGAATAAGGATTAAACATAGAGTACATACTTCAGCCATCTTTTCTAGCAGAAGCAATCACCTCTCTTGAGCCACCATTCTTATGGGCTGTGGAGGACACTCCCAACAACTTCTATGGCTAGCAATACAAACAACAAAACAAAAGTAAGGTGATAATTAAACCTCGATTCGCAAGCGACGCATTTCGGCTACAAAGGTTGAACTTGATGTCAGAGTTTGGCGAGCGAGTGCTTTAATGTCCTCACGAGAACAGTCACGTGAAATACGAACGAGCTCCCAAAGGGCTCCTCCACTAATCATATCTTTTGCATTTACTTCTGAAAACGAAAAGTGGGACAAAATTTTCAATTAACGATATGTTTGGAAACCATATATATAGGTGTTTATCATTCATATAAGAAAAATACCGTGTTGTGCCAAGTGGCAGAGTGCAAGTTCTACATGACGTCTGATAAGCGACGCTTCATTGTTAGCATTTTGTACAATCCATGGCAATGCACCGTCTTCTATCAAGAGAGATCGCCAAGGTTTTGAGCCTAATATTGTGCATTATCATTAGAATCACAATATAGAAATTAACCTTTCACCTCATTGATGATGTATATACTAACAGATATTTCTTCCCTTGCGTTGTGCTCAAAATTTCTGGAAACAAGGTATCCTGCCAACTTGCTAAATGTTCTTTTTTCAAAGAGAATTGTCGGGGAAAAAACTTCTGTGCTGGAATGCTGGTTTCATTTATAACACCGTTTTCCAAAATGGTAAACGAATAACCACTATATGTTATGATGCAATAAACAAATATATATTACACGTTTTTTTCAAAAAAAAAAAAAAATCAACACCTTTACAGGCATTCTAAATAACTTACCTTGAGAAGATGCCCTGGATTCACACTTGGCAAAATTTGCAACGCCACGTGCAACTTGAGAGAGAACGTCGGGATGTCTACATCTCACCATTCCTAACAGAGCTTTGATGCCACCTTCAGATCTCAGCCTCATTTGTAGTTTATCTGCAATGCCGTGGGTAAAAAGACTTGAGGATTGATAAAAAAGGCCAGATATATTGAGAGTGACAAACTACAAAATCAAATAATCATACCATTGCCGCACAGATTAGCTAAGGCTCCAGCAACCATTCGAAGAGTCTGGGGATCCTCAGCATCAGAAGCTGTCGTTGCCAATAGACAAATTCCACCTTGAGCCATTATCAGTTCTTGATTGGCCTCTGAACAAGCAGAAAAGATATTGTTCTAAAAAATGATGTAGCTCCAAATAGTACACCATTTAGCTGAAATGGGCACCCTTACCAAGCAAAAAGATAAAACGGGTAAAAATTAAGAAGTTAGAAAGTAAAGTACGAACAAATTACCATTCATTGCCAGATTGGCAATTGCACCAGATGCGATCCTGCGAATAGTTTCATCCTCATAGCTTCTAAGAAGCATCAGCAATGAAGTGAGACCTCCGGCTTCAACTATCTTTTCCTGATTTGCTTCTGTAGAATACATTGTATGCACACATCAGTTCGTGCATTATAATGTGAAATAGCATCAAGCAATAGCAAATCAAAAGTCATTCAAGAATGTGCAAATGCTCAGAATTGAGCAACAATTGAGAGATTATTTAAGAAATAAACGTGACTGTAAAAGCAGTATGAACTTTACAGTGTCCCTCAAAGATCTTAGAAACATTTTTAAAACTAGTCACTGTACTTACATATACATTCATTTTCATGATTTGTGTCAAAAAGAACAAGAAAAAGTTAGAACTGATCAAATCTCTGATTATAGTTTGTTTTAAGATAACTATAAGAAGCAACAAACAAGCCTCAAACAGAGAACTTTTAGGAAGGTGAGAGCAAGGAACATAGAACACCTTCAGCTGCCAAGTTGGCCACCACTTTTACAGCGTGTATTCGTACATTAGCATCTTCTGACTCGAGCAAGGACAAAATCTTTTGCAACCCAACTGTCAGATAGATTGTTAGATTAGTTGAAAACTCAAAGAGAATGACATAAAGTTGTGAAAACACTAATTGCCACCTTGTTCGTGAAGGTTCATAATTGATGCTCTTTCTCCATTACTACGGTCTCTAGACTGTAGATGATTTTGGGGAGATGGGCAATCTAGACCAGCAACAGTGATTCCATTTCTGCCTCTCTCGAGATAGCTTCTACTCTGTGAACATAATATCACAGTCTGGTGCTGTTAAACTACAGTCTACATGATTATACATGACAGCACATGAATAAAAAAAAAAATCTTACAGAGACACTAAAAGTTGTAATCTAGTGAAACCTACTAGTATGTTCTCCCTGTTAAACACGCTAGTATGTTGTCCAGATATAGTAGCTATGACCTTTTCCAGTGTGAGTTAAAACTCACAGCATGTAACATCAGTGCTCATCAATCATTTTGCAATATCAAATATTCTTAAAGACAAGCCAATTGTTATAAAAGGTCATAGATGCGCCAAAGTGACTGTAAAAGGCTGAAATTGGCATTAAATATATAGCAAGAACCAGATAGTCTAGATCACATAATAAGTACACCTCCATAAAGAACATACTTGATTAGCATCAGTAGACAGCTGAAATAATTGACTTCTTAAAGCTCTGACTTCTTCTTCAAGTTTCTTCCTCTGATGATTCTCCTCTTCCAATATTTCCTGAAGGTTCATACCATCGATGTTTCCATCTGCCAACTACATGACATCAATCAGTTATATTTTATAAGTTTTAAAATCCAGATCCAAGGAATTGCAAGGACTTGTATAATGCTGTCACAAAATACTAAAATTCATTTAAAACCGTACCTCTGCCTTTGAAAATTTAAGCAGCTGAAGTTTGAGCATATTATTTTCTTCTTCAGCTGCCTTCCGAAGACAAATTTCATTTTGAAGCAATGTTTTCAGCTCCGTGAGCTCGTCATTGCCAGAATCCATGTGAACCTTCAAACAAAAAAAATAAAAATAATCATCTCAAAAAAGAACCTTAGAAGCAGTGTTTTGAAAAACGTAAAGCGCGACTAGACGTGGAGGTGGAGGTGAAGCTTCAAGCTTTAAGAGCTTAAGCGAGCCTAGGCGAGGCTTAGGCGGAAAAATGATTTTTGATATTATTTAAAAATATTAATCATTTTTAATTATTTAATAATTAAAATAATACACATCAAACATCTAAAATTATAAAATACTATATTTACTTAATAATTCCTACCATTAGTCAATTATACAATTTTCAATTTTCTGAAATGCCAAAACTAGAATATTTTTCATAGTTTCAATTTTTAAGTAGACGAGTCCTACTTAATAGATTTATAGGAACTTCATACATACTTTTGAAGTTTGCAACAAAATAATGAGTTTTAAGATCATAATTACATAATGTAGATAGAACCATAACTTAAATTTTATTTAACTATTTAGATAAAATCATTTTTAACTTTTGTATAGATAAAATCTTTTAAAAACTTGAAATTAAAGTTAAATGAAAAAAATTTTAAAAAAATATTAAAAAAATTAATAAGCTAAAGTCAAATAAAAGACTTCTAAAAAAATGAAAAAAATAAATAAAAAACTAATAAAGAGCGTCTAGGAAAGACAAGAGAGAGGAATGAAAAAATTCAACCGTTTAAGAATTGAAATAAAATGTCTAGGCGCGAAACGAGGCGTTTTGCTAGAGCTTTGAGCATAGGCACGAGTTTTTTAGAACACTGATTTCAAGAATTCTACTAATCTTCCACAGAGAATTCAAATACTGAACAGAAGAAAAATCATTATTCATCTTATTCTTTCCCCCAAACTAGCAATGCAAATCTTTAAAACTTAAAAAGGAACTTTCTAAGACTGGAGCATATCATAGTCTGGAATGGATCACAAGTCATAACTGGAAATTACTTTCATAAAAACACAATTGGATGTGCCAGAACATGATTGCCAATGTAAATCTCAGGCATCTTAATCTGGTGTAGCTGCACCTTGGTTGAGCTCAGCAAATCTCATACCAACACGCATCGAGTGCTTCAAAAACTNTTTTGTTGATTGACACTCCACTTCTCCTCAAGCTTCTTAATTGACTCCATGTAATCCATCTGACATTTCACTTTCTCCTCCTACAAGGGAAAAAAGAAAACATTAAACTGAACATGTAAGGATATTCAGTGGTCTGAAGAGGTTTCTACTATATTGACAATTCTAATAAGCTTCCATTACATGTAAGATGCTTCTAACATCTTAGTATAGTATTACTACAATACTTAATTGACTTTTACTCCATGGCATTTGTCAAATATTTCGAATGCATCAACCATTTATTTCAAAACTTTTCCTCATTGTGTGGTTCTTAAACCAGTGTTGGTCAGATGATTTACTGTTAGGACAAAATGAAAAGTGGTTATCAGATTAGCTAAGTGGGATGCCAGTATGAACTATGAAGGGGATTAGGTACTTAGATGCCTTCAGACATCAAAACATGTCATTTGATATTTGAAAAAAAAAAAAAAAAAATTATATTCTAGCAGGGTAATAAAAGCGATTCAGTATTTGAATGATACTACCAAACTCTTAGCCCCTGTTTGACACCCATTTTGAAGAAAAAATAAATTCTAGAATAGTGATTGATGGAAGAATGCGTGGTTGAAAAGTAATGAGAATTTTTGGGTTTATGTGTAATATTATTTTATTGATAGAATGTGTAGTTGAAATGAAGAAAGAAAAAAATGAGAATGAGAAGAAAATGAGTGTCAAACGGGGGCTTAATGAGAATTTGCATCATCAAGATGAACATATATGGGTTATACTTGACTACATGTCAAAGTTTTTTCTTATGGTCAAACATGTCACTCTAATAGAAAATCTGCAGTAGTTTCAAGTAGGATTTTGGTTATGATCAAACAATCATGCAACTAAAATAGAAAATATGTAGTAGTTTCAAGAAGTATATGATATGTAACTACCTCTAACACTTCTGCACAGTTCCTTTCAGCCTCAGTAATGCATTTCTGTGCTTCCAACCTGATTCTCTCAACCTCATTTTCATAAACTTTTTGCTGTCTTTCATTATCTGCAATGAGTTTGTCCAGTTCTATCTCGAGTCTTTTAGACAAGCTCTTGTAATCAAATTCTTCCTTAATCTTCAACATATTCTCCACCTTCATAGCCTGCAATAGATGGTAAGCAATGATTGAACATATATTAATATGACATTCAAATTGTCTCTTAAAAATTACTTTGAACATGTATTGATATGACATTCAAATTTTGTCTCTTAAAAATTACTTCTGTCCACAAATGGCAAAAGGAAGCAGCAACTTGGTTTATTACTTTGCACTATTTCATTCGTTAATTTCCAACTGTTATATCTCACCCTTTGTCCAAATAATATGGTACTCGCAGTCTCTGCTCGATGGCGTGGAGATGGACCAACTGTTACAACTAATGAAGTTCTAGACGTGCCTGCAGCATAAGAGCAAATCCAAGTAAATTAAATGTGATTTCTAAAGCAATTAAAAGCATATTCAACTTCTACATTTTGCAGATAATTACTTTGTAATAACTTGGTGGTGGATTAGAGGGATAAAAATTGGAACAGGGCAAAAAGTCACCTCCAAATGAATCTTTAAGCAATCTTGTAAGCTTTGAATCTCGAACTGGGACATGAGCACTATTTTCAGCCAACGCATTTATGCATTTTCCTAAAGCACTAAGTGATAGATTTATTGACTTGGCTTCTTCTAGCATGTGCCCCTCGCTTCCTTCAAGAAACAAACATAATTTGTCTCAGATGAACGGCGTATAACACAATTGAAGCAAAACTGCATTAACAAAAATTACATACAAAAACACAAACGATTTGCAACTTTTAGGTGGTTTCTAATCTCGCCAAGACAAGGAGGATTTTACTTGTTTTAGCATTCCAGCACAAAGAAAGCATGCAAGAGACACTAACCCTCAGAAATTTTAAGATAATGTTCCCAAACTAAAGATCCAGAACATAATTTCATGGTAATAACATTTCACAGGATCCACATGTCTTCAGCACACCAAATTCTTTATTGGAATTTACAGTTCCTATATCGAATTCCAGGATAAGCAGTGAGTGAAAATTTAACCACTATGTTTAAATGCCTATACTTTCCACGCACAACCTCCCCTCCCCTCCCCTCCCCATTTCAAGGGGAAAAATAGTGGGTAGACTCAAACATCAAAAAGAAATTTGCCATATCAACACAAAATCAAGCTATCATACTTGTATGATATTCTTCACCATCCAGCTGCACATTACATACAAGTCACCCTCATAAAAGTTACATGGTTCACCAAACAGAATACGTAAAACCAAGTCTTTTGTTGGATTAGACAACAAAAAACCCACATGAGAATAGTTTGCACAGCAAGTACAAGCAAAGCTTTGTCGACTTATAGATTCTAAATCTATTTGAGTTTATTTTATCAACCAGCATACAAATTAAAGGAAAGCATTAATGTTGTGTATCAAAATCTTCAACTAATAAAGGGACAAAAAATGCAAACAATTTCTAATAATAGTAAGTTCAAAGTATCGTATGCACCTGATTTGTGAACACGTTCAGAACCAGCAAGATCTACAACAAGTAATTTGCCTTTTCGTAAGATAGGTGGCTTAAAATTACCAACCGAATGAGAGCGATTTTCATTTTCAGTAGAAAAATCATCTTCTCTTCCCAAGACAGACTTCTTCACGTGTACCTGCATTAAGCCATGTCACTTTTTGGCCAGACAAGCTATGAAATAATTTCACATAATCAGCGTGAAGAGATGCAGAAAGAAAAGAGAAGATAATAAGAAATCACAGCAGTATAGCAACTCATTCATTTACCATGAGAATGGCATGACTGCGGGAAGATTCGGTATTCAGCTTCGTATTAGCAGCAATCCTATGATTTTCCCCCAACCGTAAGAGGTCAATGAAAGTTTGCTGGTCACGGATCTCCACAACAGTTGCCCCTGGTAACGAAACATCACCAGTTCTTTGATCTTCGACAATGGGAATATTATCATTTCCAGGATTTAGGAGATCCTGGATGGTTTCCATATATAGCTGCACATATACAAGTAATTCCAGATTAACGTTAGAATTATCATTCAATTTCTAGAAGTTTTCTGAGGAAGACCAAATAAAATAAAGAAAACAAATTAACAAAGGTGACATAATTATTTAATTGTGTGAGAATTAATTAGCAACCTGCAAGTACGAGACTGAAACAGAATCAGTTTCTGGAGAGATATTCGAAAGTATATCTTCCATTGAGCGAACCATTATACCACGAGCGGAGGTATCTTCATCACCAAGTCGTCCAAGAGTATACGTCTTTCCAGTGCCAGTTTGACCATAAGCCATCACTGTCCCATTGTAACCATCTAAAACACTCTGGGAAAGAGGGAAACAAACAAAATAACTGCTTCATAATAGGTAGAATACGAATGATGTGCAATTGATGCCAAAACTAAGTATATACTTAAATCTTTTTGCAAATCTCTCAACATAAAGGTCCAAGTGTATCACGAGTCGGTACACACGTAGCTGCACACTAAAACCTTGCTGTTTTATAGTCTGACTCCTACAATAATACATTCGTATCCCAGTTTTGAGCAATAACATCATCTTAATATGTATCACTACACTCTTTTATTACATACAGCACATTAGAAGAAGCATCGTTAACTGCGTCAAGTCTCAAAGTATGACTCTGAATAGGAAAGCTTGAAAACAAAGATTGGTCGAGTTTGTTGCTTCCCACTTTTGGTCTTGTTCGTATTCAAATTCCACTTCCAGCGTTCTGCTATAAGTCATTTTTTAGTACCTCATAATGGTTGTACAAACATGGTCAGGTGGAGTCTAATTGGACGTCTGAGTTTTATCTCAGCTAGACTGTGTTAGATCGTTCTCAACTAGGTGCTTGTTCAGTTGGACCAAATGCCTCATGGCCTACTTGCTTTGGCAGGTCTCCTGTCTCCACTCTTGGTTAATCCGTCATTAATTCCCACCAGTGTTGGAAACTGGATAGATAAACTTCAAGTGTTTGCTCATGTCACCTAATTGGATGGAGTCTCTCCCCATCCAATTGGACATATACAACATGTCTAATATTTTTATGTTACTTTTAATTTTTAACATGGGTGGTTCAGTCCCAAACCCCTCGAGGACATAGAAAGCCCCATCTTCTGACCTTTAGAATTTAGAATTAGGATAAATTCTTGAACATTTGTGTAGAAAATCAAAATAATGTAAGTAAGATTGTAAGAATAACTAGGCAAACTTCATATCAGTTATGATCGTCGTTGAGAAAATTATTAATCAGTTACTAATTTTGTCCAAAGCCAAGTGCAGAACATAAACATTGATTTGTTAGACGATTTTGCAGGATCACAAGTACATTCGAAGGATAAGAAATTGATTGGTTATCAGGACACTGTAACTTCAACCCTTTTAATGAAAGATTTAGCTCACGGAAGCAACAGACAAGGTTGACTCAATAAAATATACTACTTCATAAGGAATTTTCTCCAACTACTCTGTATTATACCCCTAAATGCTATGTGCAAAATACATTGAAATTGGCAATTAAATTCCAACCAGAGAACCTCAAAAAAATGGAAGCCAAATATTAACGTCGTAACAACCAAGTTCGCAGAGCATAGAAGAATTAAAATGCCTCAAACGACACACCTCGACAACAGAAATATTAACGTCGTAAGAACCAAGTTCGCAGAGCTTAGAAGAATTAAAATGCCTCAAACGACACACCTCGACAACAGGCTTGGCGACAACTTCATAGACACGCTTCTGTGATGAATATTCAGTAAGAACCTCATCGAACTCATAGGTATCTGAATCCCAATTGTTTTTCCGAAGTTTCAACCTTTTAAGCTGTAAAGCAAAAAAGTAAACAATGATATCACAAGGGATCTATTTTATAACAGGACAATATCGAAAGTGTGAAAGAGTGTGTTTGTGTGTATAAAAATGTTAAAAATGGGAATTAATGCTATGAACCTCAGGCTGCAACTCCACACAATCAGCAAAATCTGCATCTGCTGCCATCTCTTCAGCATTTCGAGGTCGCAATCTTACAGCGACTCGAACTCTTCCGGAAACTGTCCAACACCATCGAAATATTCCAAATCAAATTTATCATGTAATGTTGGGGGAAACAAAGATTAGAAATTCAATAGTTCAACTTCACACAAAAACTAAGCAATTTTTCCAGCAGTAATAGTGCTTCATTGATGGAACTCAGTGGAAACCACATAGCACTCCCTCAGAATGCTTTACCAATTCAGCTGAAAATATATTTTTTATTGAATTAAAGGGCCGTTTGTTTCTCATTTTCATCCATAAAAATTAAAAATATGACTGTTATCCATCACATAAAGCCATCAATTTTGAATTTCTATCTCTTGTGTAGACTCAATAATGACTATATTTTTCATTTTCATTTTACAATAATGAGAATCAGACGGGCTCTAAAACTACTATCAAACCTCTTGGGAAAGAATTTATATAACTTAAACAAGCAAAAAACCAATATTTAATTGAAGTTTCATAATAAATGTTCATGATCTTATTATTATTAATGTTTCACTGTCCGAATATAAAAATCTCATCAACATTGTAGGTGTGTAAGCAATAATCAATAAATAACTACTATATTTGACAAATGAACTCCCAAATTTTAGCAGATATGTTTGTATATTTACTATTTAGTATTTTCTTTCCACACGACAACTCAAAAAATATTACTAATTTCCAAATGAGTTTGAAAAGTGAACGGATATGTATTTGTGAAGCTCTTAGCGCTGCTCTCATCGCAAGGATGAAAGGAAAGGTGAAGAGAGAGAAAGAAAACTTCAGTTTATCAAAATTACTGTGACAAATTTTTGATTTAATCCTTTTTATTAATTTTCTGTCCTAATCGCAGTGTCACCAGCCACCGTTATTCAATAGAACGTCCCTGAACTGAACAAATAATCATAGGTATTATAAGTATTACTAGAGGTAAGACTTATGTGCAGATACATTCATCTATATGCATATACATACAAATTCTATGGTACACACTGCTACACATCGAATAATGAGAACTAGATAATCGAACTAGTGAATAAACTATAATCACGGTGTTTTAGCAATAGAAATCCAGGTTACGATAATAAAATTAATACCCACGTTGTGTAACTAAATCCACAGTAAAAAAACAGAGACTGATTCAAATCATATTTTGTCACATGCTCCAAGTTCAATGACTAAAAAACTCTCCAATGCAAACTGCATTTCAAGTTCAATTAATCAAGTACGAGAGTTGTTTTTGGCATTTTTACTCAACATTCAGATCGCTCGTATAGAAATCCTGAGTACTAAATTTGCTAAACTCACCGGAGTCGGTGGCTCCGCCGGGGATGCTGCGGCGAACATTCGATGCCGGAAGTTTCGATTTGAAGGAAGATGATGCACGGAGATTCTGTGCCTTATTCGAGCCGTTTCTGCAAACTCCGCCTGTAGCCATCTCACTATTTTTTTTCTCTTCGATTGAAGAACTGAAAAATTCACGCTCACAAGACACTCGGAAGCTAATATAAGGGAAGGGTGTTGCCTGGGAATTAATTGAAAAGGATAAGGTGTTTTTAGTCTTTTCACTGTCGACTGTGAATTCAAAACAAGAGGACAGCATAAAGTGAAAGACACAATAAGGCGTTGTTTGGTCGGAGACAATTGCAGCAAAATTCAAATCACCACCTTTTCTGGAAAATATGAAGATATAAAAAGAGCTCCCACAATTTTCTCACTGACAGAAACAGAAGGAAGTATAAAAATGGCAGTATTTTTTTCACATGTTTTGTTGCCCAAACAGTACTTAAAAGTAAAAATACGAATATACCCCTTTGAGGGACCGGTCTCGTGGGAAGTTAATATGCACCGACCGGTCAGGATGGTAAAATGACTAGAATGGGCTTCCATTATGAGCACGATATGCTGTAAGCTCAACTGCCTTAAAAGTAGTGAGAGCATGGTCAAGTCTCCCGTGGGCGTAGCCATGTTTTAAATTAATGCCCATTTACGACGTGTTAATGAATTTTTTTTTCAATATTTTATGAAACAAAATCAGAAGAAAAAACAGAGTCAAAAAAAAAAAAAAAAAAACTATATTTTAACCATAATTATTTTGCTATGTGCCCGGACAAATAATCGACCTCATTGTAACTCAAATAATTACACACTTCTAATACCATGCAATCAAACCACGCTGATGCAATAGTAGCAAACTCGACACTGATGCTTATCCTACTAGAGTATTGATCTCCCATCAAATACAAGATACTCACCTCTCAATTATTTACAACTATTGGATTCTACTGAAAAATAAGTTGCAGAGATTGATACTTGGAACGAAAAATAATTTAGGATGGCGTCACAATCTCTTTCATGAGGCAGGTCCAATTTTAATATCAACTTCACCGTCCCTGGCCCAATACCGCCGTAACTTTCACCATCTATGACATGGCCGCTATCCAACCGAATCTTCTTGAGTGGCTTCATCGTCTTCATCCATTTCATCATCACATCTAGGATTCTCGTTAGCTTGGCCATCACCGACTGTTTCAGCATCAGATGAACCTTGAGCATCAACTTTGTTTTCATCATCATTATCAGTGCAGTCTTCAGTATCAGAATCGGAAGCCACTTCTCTTTCACTTCTATCTTGATCATCATCACTTCTGGCAGCATGACTGAACTGCTCTCTCAAATCAGGATCAACAATCCCAATCATTTGGCATAGTGCTTGACGTTCATGATTTCGTCTGGCAGCAGCATCCGACTTGGATGGTGGGATGTGTTGACTCTCAGCTACCATACCACTGGACTCCTGTAAAGCTGTGGCACCCTCTTCATCATTGTCTTTACTCATAGGAGAATAATTTTCTCCATGGACGGAAGGTGCCGTGCTGCACGCCCAGCTACCCGCAACTTCTGAAGCCAAAAGTTCGGCAGTTCTGACAGTACCTCCAGCTTCTGTGTCTTCCATTGGGTTCTGATCCTCAAGGGGGCTATTCGGTTGGGAGTAATGTGAGTTCTGCTTCCCAGCATTTTCCTGAGCTTCTTCAGCATGGGTTTCATCATCAAGCTGCATTGTATCCCCAGCTAACGTGCTGCATTTATTTAGATCTATATTCCTGCCAACGTCAAGTCCCGGGCTTTCGGTCTCTAAAACTCGCTCAGTCTCAACATGCTCTCCTTCCAAATTCGGTACTGCCCCAATACCTTCCGTCTCAAGGATTTGCTCAGTTTCAACTGCATTTCCCTCAGAAATGGGTGCTGTGCCAACACCGTCAATATCAGAACCAAAGCCACCCTTCACATTACGTTCAACCCGTGTGAATTCCACTTCTTGCGTGTCTTCACCATCTTCTTGGCTTTTGACGTTGCAGTCATGCTTCTCGGTGACACTTGCTTCATCACTTGACGAATCAACTTGAACTTTGCCATCTCTATGGGCAGATGTACTGGATCCTGCCTTGCCAGCATTATTACTTCGGTATTCGACTTCTTTGTGTCTGGTGACTGATCCCTTAATGTAAACAATATTTGGATTGAGGTCAATATCAACTGAAGTAGTCTCATAATTCTCTTCATCTTCTAGTGTCCTTTGCATTGACTTGAGCTGTTCCTGCTGCTTTGCAAACAACGCAGATATCTCCTCTGTCGTAGAATAGAAAGCCCTAAGCTGCGTTTCACTGCACCAAAGTCAGGGAGATAACCATTACTAAAACTTGAGGACTCAAATTTGGGAAACATTAACGATGCATCACAGACAAATCAAGCTCCTTGCAGAAAAATTGTAATATTCAAGACCAGCTAATTCATACTCATACAAATCCCAACTCGGGGTACTACTATTAAAAAACTTGGTGAGAGGACAGCCAGCAAGAACCATCTTCCTTTTAATTTTCCATTTTTTTTTAATCTGGCTCAACATGCCAGATAATCATAGAATTAATTAGTAGTCCAAAAAATTTCAGAAAACACGTTGAACTGACAAATTACATATTGTGGACCTCAAAGGAGGTGGGGGTTGTTTAAATGTCAACCAAACAACTACGACACTCCGTTCACTAGTTAATAAAAATTTTAACATACCAAAACCAAATGCTGCACCCCAAAAATTTGAAACTCTTTCGAGAATGAAAATGAAGAGGACAAATGATAGCAGAGCAGTCAGCACCATCCGGAAAGGTGGGAATTTTTTGTTTCTTACTTCCCTATAATTATTTATTGTCTTAACATGCTAAATCAACGAACAATTATATGCAGAGCAGTAAACATGCTGTCTGGAAACTGGGAAGGTAAGGAGTTTTTGTTTATTACTCTCCTATTATTATTTCAAATCGTAACAGTTAAATCAACATATTATACTAGTCACTTGTTGCTTGCGGGATCTTACCGCAGCATGATTCTTTCTCTAGCCCCTTTTAGTCTACGCCTCTCAAAATCAAGATCCCGCATTGCAGAATTGATCTCCAGTTCAAGAGCAGACACCTTTGACAATGCATCTTAACGAGCCGCCTGCTACAACAGCAAGGAAAACTCAGATTGAAAACTCCCGTTCAAGAGCAGACACCTTTGCCCATGCGTCTTCACGAGCCGCCTGCTACACCAGCAAGGAAACCTCAGTTTGAAAAACACAAACCCTTTGTCAATTGCAAAATTACCATTTTTGGACTATACGGTTCAGTAGATAAACTTCAATATAAATTCTAAAATCCAGCACATGCTACCACCAAATTCCTCCATATAATTATATGCAAAAGTGCCAGCAATCCGTTGCATATGTGCCAATTTTACATCAACAGAAAGGTGACTTCCCCTCCCATACTCAGCCCCCATGCCCTTCCCTCTTAGTTATGTAGGTATACATTATTTTTTAATTTACTTTATTTTACAAGTAGCATTTTATATGCATTTTCATTTAATTGGAAAGTAGATCAATGGCTGTAAGAGTTGTGGTTCTGGTAGAGATTCACTTATAAAACTGCAAATCCTACCTTCTCATGCTCAAGTTCTTTCCTCAGTCTTTTCCTTTCATGCTCAAGTTCTTCCACCTTCTGTAGTAAAGTGATATCATCAGGGCACAAGAAAAAAGAATAGACTATTTAGATAGTAGATTATCAAAGCAGGCAACAGGAAGCAAGTATACTTTTCTATTGCTGGCAAAAGCACGCTGCTCCTCGCGAATTTGAGCCTCCAGTTGGCGAACTTTATTATCAGAGGAAACCAATTTTTTCCTGGTGTCTTCCTGCCATTCAAAGAAACATGATTATACTCCAAGATGAGATATTGACAAATGATGAAAATAGTGTATAACTATAACGTACCAATTTGGACCTCAAAGTTTCCACTAATGAACACCTATCCTTCTCTGCTTCCTGGAATCACAAACAGCAAAACAGGTAATAACTAAGGGTCCGTTTGATTGCAAATATGGAAAATTGGTGGAAAGAAAATGAATTCTAGAGAATTGAATTGCTTAAAAATTGTTTTACTGGGAATTGTAATTAATTATGTTTGATTGGAATAATTTTCCACTTGGAAAATGTTGAAAGTTTGGTATCCGTTTAACTTTATTTTTCATGGAAATTGTCAAAGTGATAATTGTTTTTACCATTGGATCTAACATTTGTTCCAATTGCCAAAAAAAAAAAAAAAATTAAAAGTTGGAAAACCCAAAACCATCAAAACAAAAAGAAAATAATTTCATGGAAAAGCTGGAAAATCAGGCGCGTGGAAGAAAAGTGGGAAAAGGAAATCAGTGGAAAATTTTGCAAATCAAACTGTGAAGAAGTTTGCTAGGTATCAAACAGGGCATAATTGCCAGAAACATGGAAAAGCAACAATTATAAAATAAATCAAAAATTTCTACCTGAAGCTTATTTATAACTTCTTGCTGCTCTTTCTCTCGTCTCAATGCAGCATCTGATATTCGTTTTATTTCCTCCTCAGCTTCAGCCTGAACTCTCTGTACTGATGCTTTCAAATCTACTGCAAATTTCTCTCGCTCTTCTCTTCTCTGATCACGCTCTTCATCTAATAAGGCTTTCAATTCAGAGATAGATGTCTGCTGGCTGAACCAATCAAATATAAATTAAAATCCATCCTCACACCTTGAAAATATTGCTTCTCTCTGATTTTTTCATAAAAATAACACAACGATTTTGATGTAGAATGTTGAAATTTGAGCCAATTTGCAATATATACTTAAGAAGTAAAGATGCGCTATAATTACCAAAAGGATATTCTCACTGGCCCTGTAGTTAGTTTGGCTATTGTTTTCTCAAACATCTTAAATTTAGAAATGCAAACAACAAAAACCAGATAAGTTTTCCCAACATTCCCACAAGAACCCAGATGAACTTTAACCAGAAAATGGACCTTCGCTTTCTTATGTCTTGGGCAAAAGGTAGTAAAAAGTCCCGGTAATAAATTAAAATATTCTTGCAAATGCTAAGAGTAACCCACAGAACCTAATGAAATTAAGAAAGCAGATTATAATCAACAGTAGAATTTTCCATCAATTTGACCCTTCAAGATTATTGCAACTCTCACCTATTAATTATTTCATTAGCTTCAACACCGGACTGCACAGATGCACTAAGTCTTTCATTAAGGTCTTCGATGCCATGTTTTTGTTCAGCAGATATTCTATTTAACTCTGCTAGTTCCTTCTCTTTAGCCTCCAAAGACCCGCGCAACTCACTGAGCTGATCGAGATAAGATTTCGAAACTGACTCTTTCAACTCTCTTATTTCCTGCAAAAGCATGAATCATCACCTATGGCACTGATAGACACACGTGACAAACATGACAAACAGCAGGAAAGAAGCCCTCAAGTGAAGGAATACAGTTACGCAGTTTTATTCCTCAAATTTACAAAAATACCCAAATAAAGCACCACATTCTCTCCTTTGTGGCCCATCAAGGGGGACCTCAGAAAAGGGCATGGATTATAGAAGATTTTAAACTATATGAATTAAAGTATTTGA